CACACACGTGCACATGTGTGCACACACATGCACGCACACATACAGAGATATATTATTCCATGAAACAATACTTATCCTTATTTTGTGTGATAAAGTAAAAACAAAGTTAAATATCAAATTCGGTATAATTAAATCTTAAAGGCAACAGAGAAACAATTTAGAATAAATAAAAATCTTTATAATCTCAAATGAATAAAGATGATCTGATGAGATAGTTGTGCTTACCTGTCATAAATTTAACTTAAGGAGTCCTTATTCAATCTTAATCCAAAATAGTGAATATTAACGTAAAACTTGTGATCATTTTTCAGTGAAAATGACTAATAATTTATTCTTTTCTTTGGACAAAACCAAGTTAAACCCAATTACTGAATCAGGGTTTGGAAAAGAAAATGGGTTTGTAATCCAAGCATTTTTCTTTAATGTTTGAATTTCTCTTTTGGAAAGTTAAAAGTTTGGGGCAGAAGGGAATTATAACACTATTCTAATTCTATTTCATTTGGGCTGTGTTCATTACTAATGGTCTCTTTGATATGTTGTAACAGTATTGGGAACATTTAGTAGATTGGGTAATTACTTAAGCCTTACTTACTAGGCAAATAAAATCTTTTGAAACCCCTGGGTATGTTGAGTATCTTGTTGATTTTTCTCTATGGTTTCAAATTTAGTTCATTAAAAATACTGAAACTATCAGTAAAGTATGCCAATTTTATTAACAAACATCATCTTTGAAAAAAATTGCTAAATGATACTGCTTCTTAATTAGAAAAATGTGCATTTCATTTTGGAGGTCATATACCCTGTTAACACTTTCCCTCGTAACAGCCAATAAACTGTGGGATGATTTAGTAAGTGGATATTTTAAAAGTCATTTTATTCAGTGTGGTTCCTTTAATACAATTATCAATTTAGCCCGTGTTTTACAGCTTGTCCATGAGATTTGGTGGGATATCTTCAGGTCCCCAAACCCCAAGACATATAAATCAGATTCCAAATGATGATTTTGTACATTCTGCACGAACAGAAAAATGGCCAGTCAACTTCATGTCATTCTTTTCTTCAGTACCCACATCCTTCAAGGTCCCGCCTTTGTGATCTTCCCTGGAGATGGACCATAAATGGTCTCGAAATCCAGTCATTAGAACCTGTTGAACTGTGTGTACTGGGGTGGGGGTGGGGTGGGGCTCCCCAGTGGCTGTACCACCCAGCCCAGGTGCCGGGGCATTTGCTTACACACCACCGTGGCTCCGCTCCAGGGCTAAGGCCCAGTTTTCTGTTTTAGGGACATTAGAGCATCCAAGGTAGTTGATAAGAGAGGGGTCCTGTGGGTTCATTCTGACGGGGACTTAGCAAAGTCTTGTAGCATTGGCTGCTGGATGAGCCAGGGGATGTGCAGGCTGCTGTGGACAGAACACCTGGCTGCCCAGTGATTGGTGGGCCAGCCTGGGCACCAGAGCTGCTCCCTTGAAGGGCTGGATGGTCTGCAGGCGCTCCATTGGCTCACGGGGGGCTCAGATGCCTCTCAACACAGACTTTCCTCTCTGAGAATAATCCCCATCCCCTGCACCAGCTCTCATCTTCTTACCTCTAGCCATAGAGTCCCCAAGGTCATGGACCCACCATGCCCGTCCCCTCTCCCAGTCCTGGTGACCTTCACTTTGTCTCCATCGTTACTTTTTGGTCTTTATTACAGCATGACCTCTATGCTCCCTTCCCCTCAGAGCTTTCTCTTTTGTCTTTGGATTTCCAAGAGTCTAGGTTGGAAGGAAAGGAGTCTGGTTATCAGCTGTTTTCTTTTCTCTGTGTCCTTTGAACTCGGCAATCTGTCAATGCCTGTGCCCGGTTAGGGCAAGAGGCTCTCTCTGATCTGTGATGGCACAGACTTGAAGTTTCACACCACTCGGGCCTCTGCTCCCCTCAAGGCCAGCAAGTGAGGGAAGAAAGAAGCCCCATGAACAATATTTCAGGGTCTTATCTCAATAAGCAGGCTATTGTCAGGAAGCGGCTTCAAAGGGCTGTACTGGAACAGGTGTAGACCCTGTAGAGGGACCTGACTGGCCAGCTGCTATCTTAATCAGGGTTCTCTTAGTTACAAGTGTCAAAGCTCCCAGAAGAATATTCTGTAAAAGGATACGGGGGCAGGGGAGCAGCCGGCCTCAGATAGATAGCTCCTGGCACACAGACGGGAGCATTCTTCTTGGAGTGTGTCCTTGTTTGTTCCTGCAGACGGATTTCATTGCTCCACTGGCCACTGGGCAGACCATGGCTCCTCTAAGGCTCTCAGGCTTACAGGAGACAGGATTGGCCGCTCGGGTGTTGTCCACTGCTGTCCATTTCCAAGCTCAGATTCCCAGGATGGGGCATTTGATGGCTCTGTTTAAGTCATACATCTGCCCCTGTTCCTGTCATCTGTGGTTGGAGCAGGGGTGAGGGCTGAGGGAGGGCTCAGACAATCTATGTATAAAAGGCCAATATGCTAAGTGTCCCTCCTACCGTCTGACCAGTCGCTATGATGCGCACTGACCACCAGGGGGCAGCCGCTCAACACAGGAGTTGCCAAGCTGCAGTGACTTGGCAGCGGTGGATCTTGGGTGACGCACCCCAAAACCAGAGAGGAGGGAGCCTGATTCCTCGCGGGGCCACGTGATTCCACCTTCAGCCGTGGGTTATGTTATGAATCTGGTTTACTGCATATTTGCGTTTGTGTTCCACACCCTGTACAACGGCACCTTTGCAGAGCGCCCTCTCATACTCCAGGCCCCCTTGGGGGATGTCGGAGAGCTGGCTTCAGCCCGATCCCCACAGGCCAGGCTGAGGGACCCCACCTGCCAAAGTGACCCTGGGAGGTTGGCTCCAGGGCACGTTCGGCCCTTCTCGCCCAGTCCTGCCCCACCGGCCACATTGTAATTAATTTCCTTTCAATGTGCACGAATCCATGCACTGGGTCACTAGTACAGAATAGTTACAAATGGGCAGTTTCTGAGAATGGAGAGGTGGGGACAGACCATCCTCAAAGATGGGGAAATCATTGTGTACAGGACACGCTACTGGACCTTGTTTAGCTGTACTTTTGCTTCTTGGGGTTGCCATGACTACACCTTGCCATGTAGTGGTCCAGCCTGTGAGAGCCCCTCCAGTAAAGTGCAAGTCCTGTCCCTCCCTCTTTGACCAGATCTGACAGACCGCTGGGCTGAAGGCTGTCTCCCTACAACTCGCACCCTCTGGCCACTGATAACAAACCCGGTTTCTTTCCACGAAGGAGCCCTCCTGATATTTGAAAAAAACGAAGAAGCACCTTCTCCAGGGAACTGTAGCCAACTCCTTCAGCTGTTCCTCGTGGAATGTGGCTCAGGCTCCTCTGAGCTGACCACTTTCCTCCGAATGAGCTCCCGACCTGATTGTCTTACCCTAAAGCAGCGGTTCTCAACCTGTGGGTCGCGACCCCTTTGGCGGTCAAACGTCCCTTTCGCAGGGGTCGCCTAAGACCATCCTGCATCTCAGATATTTACATTACGATTCATGACACTAGCGACATTACAGTTATAAAGTAGCAACGAAAATAATTTTATGGTTGGGTCACAACATGAGGAACTGTATGTAAAGGGCCAGAAGGTTGAGAACCACTGCTCTAAAGCGTGCCTCCTGGCCCGCTGTGGTGCAGGGCAGCATGGGACACATTTTTCTCATTCTAGAAACTACAGTGCATGTGGTCCACGGTCGCACAGGTTATCTCAGGACCTTGTAGAGCTCAGAGGGCGCCCGAGCAGAATGGAAATCGGGTCCCATGGTTCTAACCTCGGCTCTGCTACTTAGTAGTGAGGGGGATCATGGGAATTACTTTAAGAACTTTCAGAGCTTCAGTTCCCTCTTCTGTGAACCGGGAGTACGAATGGCCCTAACCTCACAAGGTTATGTATTTATTTTAAATGGGGATTTGATTCGTTAATACAAGGACAGTACGTAGCACAGTGCTGGTATCTAGTACATGTGCAATATGTGAGCTCTTAGCACCGTAATTGTTAGTCTTGTTTCAAGTATCAGTGTTGACTCAGGTGTTTGTCACATGATGTTTCCACAGGCATCTCTATTTACCCACGTGGTGTTTGGAAGCCCGGGGTAGGGCTCCATCCTTGTGAAACTCCACCTTGTTAGATTCTGCCTGTTATTCTAACCTTTCCCTGATAAGTTGGGTCTCTGGCTTGGTGAGACAGTCTATTCCATGTTTCTCCCAAATTTGCACCATGGCCAGAGTTTAAGGACTCTCAATACCAAAAGGAGGGAAGCTTTTGTCTTCCCTTTGCCTCTCTTGAAGGCTGGCAAATGGAGTAGAGAATGTGAATGAAGAAACATGAAATCGGTGAACTCAGAAGCGGAGAGTGGCGGTGACCAGCTCAGCGCTGGAGTCAGCAGCCCTGGCGGGAGCCTATACTTGCCTGCAATGCAACATCGCACAGTTAATGGAGGGCTCCAGCCTCAGTTTCCTCATGCATTTAAACGGCGTGAGCTCTACCTTCTGGGCTTGTGGTGAGGACTCCATGAGCAAACACATGTCTGGCACACGCAGACTTGAGCTGCCCTATTCACATTGCTATGGTGGTATTTCTCTGTGGTCCTGAGTCTGGTCATGTGGTCCTGACACTAAGAACAGGAGTTTGCAAGAGGCACTGGTGTCTGGGGATACCAAGTCCAGACCTGGAAGCGGTTCCTGGGAGCAAAGAGAAGGGGCTGGAGAGAGGGCTGGAGGATCTGATGGCCAGTGGAGCCAGCTGACAGTAACAGCAGCAAGTGCGGGCCAGCTCATACAAGCGGCCCTTTGTTCAGCCCTCGGCCGGCACGTTGTCCTCCAACACTGAGGCTATTATAGCACAGGCCTCCTGAACAGCACACACCATCCCAGCTGCCAAGGTCAGGCACACGCAGCCAACCTTCCCCAGCTGTGGTCTGGCCACTTCCCCGCTCATCTGTGGGTGGGGTGCTTAACAGGGAGGGCCAAGGGCCAGGGTGTGGGGGCTTACGGAGGCCGGATCTTGGTGTGGCAGCCACAGAAATGTGAGGAAAAAAGGCACTTACTTTTAAAACTTGGAGTTGGGGTCCCTGAAGAGAGTGGCAATAAAATGATGGGGGTGAGTTGCCAAGGGAGTGGCTGCTTGGGCTTCTGAAAAGTATTCTTTTTGGGTGAAAATAAACAGCTTTCGGTGCTAATTGAAAATTAATCAAGGGATTCCGATCTTTGTGTAATTAAATCCTTTATAAGGATCAAAGACGCTTCTGCTAGAGAGGCTTTGAAGGCCTGGAGGGGAGGCTCTCGGCATGGACACTGGAGATCTTGGAGATACCTAATGGGGCTTACTCTGTCGGGACTTAACAGCAATAAAACTGAAGCAAAGTCAGGGAGGATCAGACCAGGTGTTCGTGTCTGTCTGGCCCCACATTGGCTGTGTGGCTGAATGCTGCCAAGGGTGCACACCTCCCCGGGGAGAAAGTCCCTTGGCTCTCCCACTTGTTCTGATGTGGTTCGGAGGGAGGGGCACTGCACCCCGAAACACAACTGTGCCCCAGGCTCATGCTTCTGCCTCAGAACCTGTCCGGGAAGCGAGAGCCCATCAGAACACTGAAGCCTTGGGGATAGATGGGCCACTCTGTCACAGGGCCAAGGCACCAGAGGCCCTCTGTTTAATAATAATAATAATAATAATAGTAATAATAATAATACTAAAATTTAAAAGTAGGGCATTGGGTTGGCTCTTGGGCTCTAGGGCCAGTTTGCATCTTTCCTGAGTCTTCACTTTGCTCTGTGGTGACAGCCTGTTCCAGAAACCAGATTTCCCGATGGCGGCTGGCTTCCTGGCCCTGCCTCTTGTTCCTGGGTGGCCGGGCTGCACCAGTGAGGGCCTCTCCCTCTCCTTCAAGCTGCTTCTGGAGCCTGAACCAGTTCTCTTTCCCACATCTAACACGTTGCTCTTAGTTCTGCCTCCATCCTCACTTTCATTTACATTTAACCGTGAGAATGCCCCACTCACAACCCTCCTGTCTCTTAGGTGGATCGTTATTACAGCAAGTTCCTAAGTGGATGCCCTCTCTTTTTCCTTCAGTCCATCCTTCACACCAGAGCTGTTTTTTTTTTTCTGGAGCCCAGACCTGATCATGTCAGACCACATACAAAAATCCACAATGGCTCCTGCTGGCTACAGCATAATACATTCCTGAGCCTGCCTTCAGCCCCTCCTTAATCTGACTACCGTCCCCTTGACCCATTTCCCCTCTCTTTTCTTTTTCTTTTTAAAAAATATTTTTAATTGATTTAAGAGAGGAAGGGAGAAGGATAGAGAGAGAGAGAAACGTCAAGGACGAGAGACAATCATTGACTGCTTCCTGCACACCCTAACTGGGGAACAAGCCCACAATCCTGACATGTGCCCTGATCTGGAATTGAACCATGTCCTCCTGGTTCATAAGCTGACACTCAGCCACTGAGCCATGCTGGCTGGGCCACATAATTATTACTATTGTTGCTATTAAACCCAGTGAGAGACTAAATACATACACTCATAAAGTAATGTATGTCTCAGAGGAGAGAAAGTCAGTTTCATCCTGCTGGGCCATGTCCTCTGCTCCCATGGTGGGGGCCGCCTTGAGAGCTAACCAGGCACACTCTAAATATAATGGCTTAAAACCCTGTGGATGCTCACAAACCCCCAGGCCTCCAAGGAGAAGGATTTTTATTTTTTTTAATATATTAACTAGAAGGGAATGGAGAGAGGGTCATAACATGTTTAAGTGTACTACTGACTATATTACTGACCCATATTACTTTTTTTAAACAGCATCTCCGAAAATTATTACCATCTCAGAAACAATTCCAAACAATGTTGCAGCTGGTGTGTTTGCTGTCATCAATTCTGAGGGGTATTGCTATCTACGGGCCACATACCCCAAAACTTCAGCAATAGAACAGAATGGAACAGCACATGATTACAGTAATCTAGGATAGGCTGTTAGTGTTAGAGTGACTACAGACCAGATGTAGTTGAGAAGGAAGAGTGATACCAGGGTAGTGTCTTTATTAAGGTACTTTATAAACATGAGCTTATCATTCCACCCCGGGGAACTCTCTAAGATAGCATAAGCTCCAGACACCAGACTGAGAACTCATTTCGGTCGGGACTTTTATGCACTTAACTAATTTTTCACTCTGTTCCAGCACCCAGAACATGCCTGGCACAAATGTTTGTTGATGGAACAAATGAATGAATAGGTTGCCTGAAGTTGTGGGAGGTCTTCACCTCCACTGGACAATCTCCAGGGGGAACACCAAGACCAAAGGAAGTTCAGTGCCCTGTGGGTTGGTGAGTAAAAAACTGGAAGCCTTTAATCCCAGGAACATGGGAACAGAGGTTGCATTCATTCACTCATTCATTTGACAAATGTTTGCTAAGTCACTACTAGAGATAAGGTAAATTCAGGCTCTGTCCTCTTGACACTGAGGAGAAAAAGAGAGGAAGGCACAAGACATGCCATGGGATGACAAAGGAAGGATAGCAAGTCCAGGCCTGGAAGCAGTCCGGGAAAGCTTTCATGAGGAATGGGCATAGGAGGGATGGTTGGAGGTCTTGACCAGGTAAAGGGTTAAATGGAGATGAGGGCAGGAATAGTCAGAAAATGACGGTGTTTGGTACACGAGAGACACGGGCCATGTCCGGCCAATGTGGCTGGAGCAGAGATAATGACAGGACGATGGTCAGAGCTGAGGCTGGCAGGGCCTTGCCTTCTATGATAAGGAATATCTCTTTATGCCAAGAGCAATGGGGATGCATTGAAAAATTGAAGCAGGAAGAGTTTCAAGGCCAGATATGAATTTAGAAAGCTCACTCTGGATGGCATGGGGAATAGATGGAGGGGGTAGAGACTAGAGGCAAGGAAGCCACTCAGAAAAGGAGCCATTATGTTGACCAAGAAACAGAGGACAGATTTAGAAGCTGTTTGGATGTCCTTAGTGATTAGTGGTGACTGGGACCCAGGAGGAAGAAGGGTGAAAGCCATCCACGAAGAATGAAAGCAAGATTGGTGCTCCCTTTGAGTACGAAGGAGACATTTTTCACTTTTAACTCTTTGCAAAAGCCACCTTGTGACTCATGGGCAGGACCGTGAGATGTGCATCCAACATACAGGGGCCCATGGAAAACGTTGGGAGCTCCTCCTCTTGCCTCATCCCCGATCTTACCATCATGGTGGCCTTGGAGCAGCCCTCACACTGGGAAGAAGTGGGAGCAAGGACCCCTCTGATGGGATTTAGGAGGCTTTGAGGTCTCTGATGCTGCCTCCCACAGATGAATAGGGTTAGGAACGGCAGATGAGGGCTTTGTAGAAAAAGAAGCAGTGGAAGTAAGTGACTTGGATAATCGAGGCCTTGGTCTTCTTGAGAATTGGAGGCAGAAGACATGCATCCAGTCTCCATTGGGGTGAGCTGAGGAAAATCATTTAATCTCCAACACTAAACTGTCATTAAAATCAACACAAAATTATAAGGATTTACACAAATCTGCGAGTCATTTATGCCCTATGAATTTCAGTTTTCTCTCTTATAAGAGGAGAATTAACATATCTGCCTGTATGTGTCTTGAATGAAACAAATCACCTGTACTAATGCTTTGGAAATACAGGATGAACTATGTACATGTCAGAAACTTGTAAGGCTCTTGCCAGCTCATGGATTGAACATGGATGTTATAAGTCAGACTGACATGGATTTGAGTCCTGGATACACTACAAATGAGCTGTTGGCAAGGGTGGTAGGTGGCTTCTAAGACGGCTTCTAGTGATTCCCACCTCTTGATATTTACCTCCTTTTGCATGTGTGTAGGGGGTTGGACCTCGTGACTCTAATAGATAGAATCTGGCAAAGGCGATGGGCCCAATGCCACCTCGGGGATTAGGCTGTAAAAGACTGTTCTGTCTGGCTTACATACGCTCTCTGACTCTGATGAGGCAAGCTGCCATGTTGTGACAAAGAAGTTCATGTGACAAGGGATTGAGGGCGGTCTTCAGCCAACTGATGTGGGACTGGGACCCTCAACCCAACAGCCCCTGAGAAACTTGATCCTCCAACAACCATGTGAGAGCTTAACAGCTGATCGTTCTCATGGAGCCTTGACATGACTGTGGTTCCAGTGGACTTGACTGGGCCTGTGAGATATCCTAAGCCAGAGGACACACTAAGCCATGCTGAGGTTCTTGACTCACAGCAACTGTGAGATGATAAATGTTGTTTTAAGGCACTAAGTTTTGGGGGAAAAGTACGAAAATAAATACAGCAAGTTATTAAATTTCTCTGAGCTCCAGTGTCCTCCTCCATAAAATGAAATCGTAATACCTAGTTGTAGGAGTTATAGCAAGAAGTCAGTGAGAGCCTTGGCTGGTGTTTCTCAATGGTTAGAGCATCCGCCCACACACCAAAGGGTCATGGGTTTGATTCCCGGTCAAGGGCATGTACCGGGGTTGTAGGTTTGATTCTTGGCCCCGACTGGGGCCATGTGGGAGGCAAACAATTGATGTGTCTTTCTCAAATCGATGTTTCTTTCTCTGTGTCTGTCTCTATCTCTCCCTCCTCCCTTCCCCCGCTTCCCACTCTCTCTAAAAATCGGTGAGAAAAATATCCTCAGGTGGGTATTTACAACAGCAATAACAAAAAGTCAATGAGTGATTGTGTCTAAGCCAAATGCATTGCTGGCACAGCGTAGGCACTTAGTAAATGGTTGTTGTTTTTATTACGTAAAGCAGCAAAGCCCAGGGAGAGCTGAATGGTACTCACAACTGGGGCATTGGGTTTAGGGCAGTGACTCCATGGCTGCCCTATCATAGCATGACCACACTCTACTATTCATGTTTGTTTGGTTGTGTGTTTTCCCCCAGCTGACTTCGAGTTGGATGAGGATGTGGGTAGATGCATGTTGTGTCACTATGTTATCTCCTGTGCCTGGCAACACTCAGCAAGGGGCCATTAAATAAATAAAGAATTGAATTAGCGAGAGAGTTGGGAGATTCCTGGCCCCATTGGGATGTCTGGTCCTTGAAGCAGCTGGCGCTTAAAGTACCAGCAACAGCATGGGGGCATGGGAAAGATTCAGTGTCAGGGCCAGGGAGCTCAGTGTCAGGGCCAACTCCGATGCGCATTCGCAGGCGCTCCCAGCTGAGCTTGCTGCACTCTGCAGCAGGTCACGACCTCTCCAGCCTCAGTTTTCTCATGTGTCACGTGGGGGTAACAGCCGCCCTGACTTCCTAATGGGACCCCTGCGAGGATTGAGCAAGGTCATGAATACAAAAGTGCTTTGTAAACTGCAAACATGATAGCTGTCAGGACTGTTAGTGGGAACTGGCGCTACGATGGCCATTCATCTTAAGGGGACTATTGTTCAATCAGGCATGTTTTGACAGACTTAGCGAATGTTTTTGGATTGTAAACAGAATTTATGGGCTAATTTCATACAAAAAGCAATATTCTGACAAATTTTACTTCTTCATTATCTGGAACAGGTAATGGAATGCTTTGTTTTCCCTTTAAACTATTTTTTTTTTAATTTACCTTTGTGCTTAGCATGTTTGGATTTGCAAATGGAAATGTGTCCTTATTACAGATGAATTCTTTTTTTTTTTTAAATATATTTTATTGATTTTTTTACAGAGAGGAAGGGAGAGGGATAGAGAGTTAGAAACATCGATGAGAGAGTAACATCAACCAGCTGCCTCCTGCACACCCCCCACTGGGGATATGCCCGCAACCAAGGTACATGCCCTTGACTGGAATCGAACCCGGAACCCTTCAGTCTGCAGGCCGACGTTCTAGCCACTGAGCCAAACCGGTCAGGGCTACAGATGAATTCTTTAGCGGTGGGGATGAGGTGGTTTTGCTTTTACAATGTGTTGTTGGTAAAATTTGGCTCTAAATATTTGTTTTGTGCCTATTGACATGTGGGTAAGTGCTGGTATTGGCTAAAGAAACAAAGGCTCTTCAGAGCAGCCCTCCATCTGCACTCAGTCTGGGTTGAACCCAAGGAACCATGTGTTCTGCCTTATGGGAAACACACCCCAGGCCCTAACCACACGACCATTTCTGCCTCAGAGAAACCCAAACACAGAGAAGGCTGAGCCAGTTTCCTTGGAGCAGGTAATTTCCAGGCCCCTTCCCATCGCATCCCAACTTCCAAATATATGGTGTCCCAAAATTTACACAAGATTTGCAATTCTTGCGTGAATTTGGGGACACCCTATACATCTTCCTCTTCACATTAGACGTCTCTGCCCAGCCTTTTACAAATTGCGCTCTCCCTGAAACGAAGGCACGGAGTAACATGAGCATGAGTTGGGGAAACATAGCATACCATAACTCCCTCATGGAACTAACTTTAACATGATTTAGATCAAAATAAACATCATCAAATCAGAGTTAATTGCTTCCTATTTCTTTCCTATATTTCTGTAATAACAATGATAACCTTCTTTCCCTCCCACCCCAATCTAATACCACACACAGTTATTAGAATATTATTGACCATATTTCCTGTACTTTACATCCCCATGACTATTCTGTAACTACTCATTTGTACTTCTTAATCCCTTCACGTTTTTCACCCAGCCCCCCAACTCCTTCTCCCACCTGGCAACCGTCAAAGTGTATCTATGAGTCTGTTTCTTCCTGCATGTTCATTTATTTTGTTTTTTAGATTCAGTTATTGATAGATATGTATTTATTGCTATCTTATTGTTCACCTTCTTTATCTTTTTTCCTTCTTCTTCTTCCCAAAGAAGACCTCCCAATACCTCATGCAATGCCGGCCTGGTGGCATTGAACCCATCCAGCTCCTTTCTGTCTGGGAAGCCCTCTACATGTCCCCAGATTCCAAATGATAGAATAATAGCCCTGCCAGGCCCAGCAATCCTGGCTGTAGATGGATGCCCCTCACCCCCCCGGAACACTTCATGCCAATCCCTCTGACCTGCAAAGCCTTTGTTGAGAAATCAGTGGATAGTCCCATGAGAGCTCCCTGTGGGCAACCAACTGCTCCTCTCCCACTGGTCTCAATTCCCTCCTTGTCCCCAACCTTCTTCATTTCAACCATGATGTGTCTTGGTGTGGGCCTTTTTGGGTTCATCTTGTTTGGGACTCCTTGCGCTTCTTGGGCTTGTATGTCTATTTTCTTCTCAAGGTTAGGAGTTTTCATAATTTTTTCGAATAGGTTTTCAATTTCTTGCTCTCTCTCTTTTTCTTCTGACACCCCCATGATGCGAATGCGGGTATGCTTGAAGTTGTCCCAGGGACTTCTTTTACATTTTTGCTGCTTTGACTGGGTGTTTTTTGCTTCCTTCTATTTCAGACCTACTTTCTTACCCTTTAGTTATTTGTACACTTGTCTCTCTCCCTGGTTACTCTAATATCTGAGGGTTCGCACTGGCTTTTACAGCTCTGCATTTCTGCTAGGCCCAACACAGTGCTATGGATGAAATAAGTGTTCAATAAATGTTTTTGTAATAACTGATAGAATCATGACTGCTGAATCATCTAGAGTGGGCCAAAAAAGGAGAACATAGAAAAGGGTACAGAGAAGCAAATGAGTCATGTTTTTAATGGGTCAGAATCAGGACAGTGATAGGGTGAAAGCCCCACCTCATTCAGCTGTTTCAGGCAGAATTTGATGTCAGTGGGTTCTATTTAGTCATCGCTCCCATAGGTTTGGCCCTTTCCAACCACTTATTCAGTATTATATAAACATGGTCTGTTTGCACTTTCCTGCCTGGGGACATTTCTTCATCCACACAAATCCCTTTTAATTTTTTCCCTCAAAACATGAGTTTGTTTACTGAGGGAAAGTAATTTAGAAACTGCTCATCTTGATTTGGAGTTAATGAAGCCAATACACAGCCAATCTTAAATTACCAATCAGATGATTATCTCACAATAACATTGTTAGTCTTTGGCCAGGCACCCAATTTAGGACATGCTTTTCCCATCTGTGTCACCAGCCACCTTCTCTCATGCTGGAGGTAGAAGGTAATCTTTGGAGGCTTTGAATATACTCTCAGGCTCCCCATTACTCAGCACGTTTCCCTTTGCTGTGCGGACAAACCTGAACAAGTGGCCAAAAGGACTTTGACTCAGATTTGCCCAAGAGTCAGAGTAAAGTGTAAGTCCAGTGCTAACTCTCTTCTGGGAATGTTATCAGCACAGTTTCTCTGCCTCTCGGCTCAGCTACATGTATCTGGGGCCCCAAGTGTGAGAGAAAGAGATGGCTTTTCCGACAATAATGCTGACCGCCAAAACATGCAATTGCCAAAGGAAGGGGAGGCAGGACTCCACCGGGTTTTCTCATGGGTTGAGAGAAAACATTTGGGAGTGAACTCAAGCTAAAGGTCTTTATTCTGAGTACTAACCCCAATGCTATGTGGAATCCATAGGGAATCCTTCACAATTTGGCCATGACATGAAACGCCTTGGGACACGCACAGACGCCTGGGTCTGTTTTCTGAGACCCAAGTGTCATTCACTGCTGAGAAAGGTAAACAAGCCCAGCAGATATGATAAGAGGACTGACACCAAGGGCCATTCAGAGAGCCCATCTGGGGGAAGCAGAATTGGTAACGATGATCTTTGCTAAAAGTGATACCTGTTAAATTGCTAGTTATTGACAGAGATTCATGAAGCATGCCAAAGACATTTGAATTAGACTTTATTTTTTGACTCCAGGAGTGGGGGTGGCATGTGGAGCAAGAACATGGACAGTGCTGGAAGCCAGAAAAGAAGGCTCAGAAACCCTAAATGTCAGAGAAGAAGTGAGGGGAACGAGGTGAGGACAAAGGGAGGTCTCAGGGAGCCACAGAGATAAGCCAGGCAAGGAATTCCTTAGGCAAACAAGTGAAGCACTGAATCATTTCATGTGAAATGATAGTTGGAATTACTGAAAGGAGTTTAGGGAGCAAAGCAGAAAATCATTAGCAGAAATTAATCATCCACCGCTTTCAACACTAAAAATTATATTGACCTACACAAACCAAAAAGACCATAGAAGAAGCCAGAAGCACAGCTCTGGGGCCTGAGGGCTCCTGAAAGGGCCTGCTGTCCTGGCAGGCAGCCGAGAGCTGCGGCCCGGTGGGCGGGGTTGGTCTATGGTGCCCTGGAGGAAAGAGTATCACAGATCTTCGTGTAGCTGAGAGAGGGGAAGAGAAGTGCAGTTCTAACAGAGGCCCCGGGCCCCTTTGTGGAGGATGCAAGTGATGAGCTCAGCTCCCGGCAAGGAGAGCTGTTCGGTTTGGCCCCGGGTGTCCTCCTGCAGAACCCTGTGGGCAGAGAAAAGGCACACACTGTGCCTTGTCGGACACGCTGACAGGGCCAGAGGGGCCATCATCCCAGGAACTGGACACAATAGGACAACACTGTTTCCATGTGGAACAGAGCCCAAGGCTGGCCTGTGCCCTCCGGTGCACCCAACCTCGGGGTTTTGAACTCTAGCTGTTCCGTTAGGTGTCTAGGCAGCGTCCCCACACCATGGAACTGTCTGACAAACCCTTTTTCTCTCCCAGGGGTTGGGGAGGAATGCGATGGGAGCTGCTTGGGGTTCTGGCTACCTTCCTGGACATGGTGCTGTTGGGCTCACAACTGGCATGAGGGGGAGAGGAGTGAAGTGCCTAGGATGCAGAACGTGGGGAGGCACTGCTCTCAGCATCGTTGAGGACGCACAGTTGGCACCTCCTTACATCTGGCTCTGGTTGAGTCAGTATCTTGCTCCACATTGGGTAGTAACCAAGGCAGTCTGGAGCCCATGTTCCTGTCTGGTGTCTAGAGAAGCTGTGGGAATCTGGGCATCATCAGGGTGGGAGGGAGTTGTTTTGTTCTCTGCCACTTCCAGACTCCTAGGAAGCTGTGGATACCATTGAAGAAAGGGCTGTTAGGGACCCACTGCTATGGTGCTTCTCTGGGCAGAAAGAAGTGAGAAATAGGAAGACAGCTTTAACCAGTGCGAGCTGAAGGGAACCCCAAAAGGACATTTATTCACATTAAAAGTAACTTCTCTATTCTTTTCTTATTATAAAAATAAATGCATGTCCATTAGCTAGAGTTAAAAAATGAAAAGCACCAGTAATTTCAACTCCCAAAGTGACCCATTATTTCCATGTTAGTCAGATTTTCATCTTTTATCACATTTTCCTAGTAACAATGATGATGAAGACGGGGCTGATGGCCATAACGACAAACATATGATGAGAGCTTATTTCTAACCATGTCTAACCCTTTGGTTTGTAATTCAAGAGCTAATAACATTCAAGATTCTATTGAGACTTTATTTACAATTTTAATGGGAAATGTTTCATGGATAGCCTTTAGGCATATTTATATTGGTAAGGCTAGGGAAAACCTGTCTATGTTGTTGCCTGTAACAGCATCTGATCTTATAAAAAACTGAGCAACCCAATGAGAATACATGGGCACTACCTCCGGTTCTCCCTCCCTTCCTTCTCTCTCTCTCTCTCTCTCTCTCTCTCTCTCTCTCTCTCTCTCTCTCTCTCTCCCTTTCCCTCTCTCTCAGGTTCGATCCCCAGTCCTGGTCAGGGTGCATGTGGGAGGCAGCCAATAGATGTGTTTTTCTCACATGGATGTTTCTCTCTGCCTCCTCACCCCCTGCTCTCTCCCTCCTCCCTTCCACTCTCTCTAAAAATCAGTGGGAAAAAAAATATTCTCAGGTGAGGATTAACAAAAAAATAAAACAACAAAACAAAAAATAAAAAAAGAAGAAGAAGAAAAAGTAAGGCCCAAACACAGACCTTTTACCCTGGTGGGGTTGGTAGGAACTGCATGGCAGTCTAGGTAAAAGGACAGCCAGGTACTGGAGAAGTCTGGGAGCGAGAGCCAGGTGGACACCATTCATTCAGTCACTCACAGGCTCATTCCCCTGCATCAAGCTGTAGCAGCAGCACAGTGACTGCTAATTGAGTACTACTCCGTGAACCGTGAAACGTCAGACAATAACTCCAGTCATTATCAGTAGGAGTTTTTAGCTGCCGGGAATGTCCAGGGAGGTGAAGGTGAAGCAGAGGATGATCTGGATTGAAGAATCAACCCAGACAGTGAGTGTGAGCCTTAGAGGAGATGGTGATGAGTAGAGAGTGGGCACGGTGGAAAGAGATTTATTGTCACAATGGACAGTTCATTTTAGATGTTGAGATAAATCCATGCTGACTTCCCACTTTAGGTTGCCCTGTCTGATGGCTAATTACTGCTTAACCTTTGGTGCCTGACCACTTGAGTTTGAACCACAACTTGGCTCTTTACCTGCTCTATTAGTTTGCTAGAGCTGCCATAACAGAATATCACACGCTGGGTGGCTTAACATCAAAAATCTATTTTTTCACAGTTCTGGAGGCTGCAAGTCCAAGATCAAGGTGTCGGCTGATTTGACGTCTCCTGAGGCCTCTCTTCTTGGCTTGCAGGTGGCCCCCTTCGCCCTGTGTCCTCACATGGCCTGTCTTCTGTGTGCATAAATTCTTAGTGCCTCTTTTTGTGTCCAAATCTCCTCTTCTCATAATGACACCATCAGATTGCATTAGGCCCCACTCTACCGGCTTCATTTTCACTCAGTCACCTCTTTCAAAGCCCTGTCTCCAAATACAGTCATGTTCTGAGGTACGGGGAGTTAGGGATTCAACATATACATTTGGGGTGGGGCACCATTTAGCCCATAACACCTGCTGTCCAGTATTGGCAAATTACTTTCTCTAAGATTTAGCTTCTGTGCAACTGGAGAGATGTTAATAAGTAACAGGTATCAATGCTTCCTATGTTTTAAATACTTTACATCTCATCATCTTAATCCTCCCAATAGCTAAAAAAAAGTTGGTATTATTATAATATCAAATAAAAACACAAGATGCCCGATTAATTTTGAATATCACGTAAACAATGAATACCTTTGTTTTTAGTGTTGTCCCATGTAATATTTGAGGCATACTTACACTAAAAATTATTGTTTATCTGAAATTCAAATTTAGTCAAGTGTCCTGTAATTTATCTGACAACCGTATCCCCTGAAACCAGAAGAGTCAGTCAGAAGGGTCAGGACAGCGCCCGCGGGCGAATACCGGATTGCCTCTTCTCCTCTCCTCTGTGGAATATCTCTCCTCTCTACTGTGGCACCGAGCTATAGGTCCTGGGAAGCCAGCCTCGACCCGAGTGGCTCCTGATTTTGGAAGGAATTTACTTTCTCCCACTCTCTATAGCTTCTTTTCCTCTGTCACAGGTGGTGTTGGCTTGAATAAGCTTTTCCTTGCATGTCAATCATAAGACCAGAGACTCGAATAGGAGTGTGGGGAAAGATGGCCAACGGCCCGCTCTAGTTCAATGCTACTGAGATCTCCCTAGTGCAGGAAAAGAAGACTCATCCAATAACCTCTCTTTGTCCATCTAAGTCCTTCCTTCAGGTTTGAACTCCATCTTCAGGCAAGAGTAAAGTGCTTTTTGCCTTGCTTTGCTTTTCCTCACGTGGAGGCTCAGCTCTCCCTTGGGGACTTTGAGTGAAGGATTAAGAAAAATTATTCAAAACTTGGAAATAAGCAAAAAGATTGCTGCATGACCTTTCAATGTTGTCTAAGGCCATGTTACTTAAACTGTGGGTTGCTGACCATCGGTGTCACCTGAGAACTTGTTAAAATGCAAATTTTCAGACTCAGCCCAAGACCTCAATTTCTGGGGGCAGGGCCCAGCCCTCTGTATTTTCATAAAGTCTGAGAAGCATAATGGTCCTCTCCCTCTCTAGGGAAAGGCAACGTAGTTCTTACCATGAAGTTGGGCTCAGACCTTTGACAATACCAGGAGGATGGCGATGATTTCATTTCCTGTCCAGCGGAGAAGACAGCCCCACAGAGCATGGTTTTACCGCTCTCTTGGAGACTGACCAGTTTGTATCTGAATCTGCAGCCTCACCTCAGCACCCCTTTCTTCCTGCACTGACTGCAGAGTCCTATGTTCTCATTTTCTCTTTTGATCCAGCACTGCCACCCTCCTAGTTCCTTCCTTCATGAACTGAATAACACTGTGACATGTGCGTACTTATCTCTCTATATGAAAATTAGGTTTTTAATATTTTGAGAACTATACTCTGACAGGAGGATAATTGAGGGAAGGCAGGACTCATCTCTTCTTCAGACTCCCGGCCAACTACTGTCATAACCCTCTCTGTCTCAATCAGAAGCTATCGGCTACAAACAACAGAAGCCAACTCAAATTAGCACAAATGAGAGGGAATTTATTGGAAGCCGATAGGCATCTCAAGGGACTCCTTTGTAGGAAGAGTAACGAGGCACCGAGGGAGTGGAAAACTGTCAGGTAGTCTCTATATTCTCTCTCTCCAAATGCTCTCTGGCCCCTGGTTTTCTCCAGATAATGAGGATTATCTCTGGCTTCTTTTTAGACTAGTTCTCCTGTTTACTTTGCAGCATGAATATGGCTTAAAATGGATCTGCATGATCTTCCACCCCAGGAATCTAATTTGTACCTGACGAACCCATCCATCAGCTGGATGTGGGTCACATACCCACCTAGCTTGGGAAGGGGAAAGAACCACACCGTCAGCTTGCCCATTCACCAGAAACGGAGGTCAGAGCAGCTATTCTAAGAAGCACCACTGGGCAGGGGTGGCAAACTCATCTCTGATCTCTACCTCTACTTGGACTGTTTGGAGACTAAGGACAGAATATGATGAAAGAGGCTTTCTTCCCAGGCTTCCTGCCTTGGACCTGAGAATTCTCTTGGAACCAATTTGGCTCCACCAATCTCTTAGGCCTGACAAATAGGAAAGCCACCTCTGGGCTTCTGAAATGCGCAGGATGCAAGCTGAAGAGAGGCGAATTTTCAGTTAAAACTCTGAAATGCTGCACAGACAGTGTAGCTCAGTGGTTGAGCATTGACCCATGAACCAAGAGGTCGCTGGTTTGATTCCTGGTCAGGGCATATGTCCAGGGGGTGTGCAGGAGGCAGCCAAACAATGATTTTCTCTCATCATTGATGTTTCTATCTCTCTATTCCTCTCCCCTCTTCTTTCTCTAAAAATCAATAAAAACATTTAAAAATCTCATAAAAAACAACAAAAAACCCCACTCTGAAATGAAACCTAATAAAAATCTCCTAGTTAGTTAATTGATCTTTGAAATAATTATGTTATACTGGCATGCGTGTTCAGCCAAGCTTTTAAGTTAGAATAACACTAGCTGTTGTAACAAATAAATCCCTAAATTTCATTGGCATGGCAAATAGAAGTTTATTTTCCACCGACCGCTACATAAGTATAAAGCAGGTATTTCTGGTAAGTGGGTAGGAATTCTCCAATTTGTTCAGGTCTTTAACATTTTTTGTACGTTCTTTATTAGATTTATAGGTACTGAATGACTTTGATGCTATTTTGAGAGTTATCTTTTAAAAAATTCCTAAGAACTCTGCTTAACTTTTCACCTCATAGCTGTTGCTTTGTGTATAGGGTAATTTGAGAATCAGCATTAGAAAATCTCATTAGAAAATCCAACAGACAGAACATTGGGCCCATTTATCTGTAGTTTCCTTTCCTCCAGACTCTTAAGACGTTAGGCACTGATTTATTGGTACCTAAAACTCCAACTTTTATTTCTGTCGCCCCATGAAACTACCAAGAGCTCTGAGAGGTCACTTTCTGCTTGGCCCCCCGCCCCTACTTTATTTACAAATCAGAAGGAAAGAAGGTGAGGCTCATGGAAATGTCCTTCTCTTCTCTCTGGGGTCTTGGCCTATCAACTTTGGGCGGCCTTGATTGATTGATGCAATCTTTAAGCAGCTGTTTTGTAATAGTTTATTAAGCATTTATAGTTGTTCCTAGTGGCGGCGGGGTGGGGTGGGGTGGTGGTTTGATAAAGGATACTCCATCAGAGTTGGAAGTGGAAGTCCTCTCTAATCCATTATAGTAAGATTAATATTTTTTTATTTGTATAATTGCAGGTTCAAAGCCATCACGAGAGAGACATTTTTGATGTATGCTTCCAGCATGACAACTTCACATAGGATGTAATAAAACAGCATGTGCAACAGGATCCTCTTTGTTTTGTCAGGGTGTAACGACTGCACAGAGTTTTATGCTACTTAGAAAATGGCGGAGATGACTTTTCATCAGAACATTTCCTAAGTCACTTTAGGGAACACAAAGTGCAGTTTTAACAGGTGCTCTGTAGAAAAAGATTTTTTTTTTTTGGTTCAATTACTTTGGGAAGTGATAGTTAAACAAAATTGTTTATTTCACAATGTCCCTGAGTCTGGGGTATGTTATGTGCTTTGCAAGTCTCCAAGAGGGAGTACTAGGATGCCAAATTTCCTAACTATTTTTGATCAAAGAACTCTTTGGGGAGCAATTCATGGTGAAACTATTATTTCACATAATATAGTTTGGGAGACACTGGTTTAAGAGGAATGAAAGCTAAGTTAGATTATTCCTGGCCCTGACTCTGACATCTATTAGCTGCAGGACCTATTATATGACATTGCATCTCTGATCATTAATTTCCTCATTTGTAAAATAAAGAGGCTTCACTTCAGAAAGCTAAAGTCTAGGCCCGTGGTTGGCAAACTGCGGCTCGTGAGCCACATGCGGCTCTTTGGCCCCTTGAGTGTGGCTCTTCCACAAAATACCACGTGCAGGCGCACACGTACAGTGCGATTGAAACTTCGTGGCCCATGTGCAGAAGTCGGTATTTTGTGGAAGAGCCGGTATTTTGTGGAAGAGCCACACTCAAGGGGCCAAAGAGCCGCATGTGGCTCGCGAACCGCGGTTTGCCGAGCCGCAGTTTGCCGACCACTGGTTTAGGCTTTTCTCTTCGACGACATTGCCAAGCATATTGCCAGTATCACACAATAGTCTCCACAGTCCCAACTGTCATAAGGGCCTATTCCTTTCTATTTAGTGATAAAGCCCTAGAGTGGTGGTTTAAATATTGAAATGAGTATACTATCTTTGACTCTGAGTCAAATTACTAAACTAAAAAGACAATGTCAGACACTCTCACCTCTTAAGGTATACAATACGGTAACCTGTAGAAGCATGGGGAGGACATGGTTTAACTTACTGAAAAAACCAGAAGGGTTTATGACATTTTGTGTAGAGTTGCTGATCCTGGTGAACTTAATATTTGTATTGTGTTTTTTCCCATGAACTTATAGGAAAAAGAGACAGGAGAAAGCTCAGGGTAATAAGATGGGGGAACTAAAGGACTAGTCTCTTCCTCTTATTCAAGACTGTGGAAAAAATTACTTGTCTCAAAACTTGGCACTAATCAGAGGAAAAAACAAGTTCTCTCAGAATTTTTAGTCATAAGCTCAACCTCACATGCTAATTGGAAGCCTGAGTTAATATAGGATTGCAACTGAACAAAGAATTTAATTTAAAGAACACTGAACCAAGCATTTAATTTAAAGTTAGACTGAAAATGATAGTGTGACCAGGAGCATTAGTAGAAGCTAACTTAATCATCTCTGGAGGAGCCCATCCATCTTCCCAGGCCTCAAACGATTCCCAGAGACAAATTGCGAAGAAAAATGAGTGTCTCATAGTAAAAGAATCAGAAGGATATAAGGCACCACCAGATAAAAACAGACTTCAGAAACAGACCTATAGATATTCTAGAAATTCCTGATTATAATTGATATAAGAAAAGCTTGAAAATATGAGCACTAGAAATAACAGGCAAGTAACTTTGAAACAGAACAAACTAGAACTGAAAATGATAAATATAAAAATTGAAATTAACATACAAGTGGTATGTGTTTAATAATATATTAGATATGGCTGAACATTAGATTTCTCAATTGGAAGAAATACATTTAAAAAAAAAATCTGAAAGCACTCCAACAGCAAGTATCACAAATAATGAAGTATTAAAAATATTTCCTTTAATATCAGAAATAAAACTAGAGGGCTTACCACCTCCACTTCTATTTCATGTTGTAATAGCAGTCTTAATTGGTTCAGTAAGGGGAGGAAGTAGGATAGAAATAAAAGGACCTTAAAAGTGATACTAATCGAATATAATAGTCTACGTAGGCAATCCAAAGGAATCAACAGATAAATTATTACAATTAAGAAAGTTTAGCAAAGTGGCTGGATAAACAATCAGCAAAAGTGAGAACCAAAACAGCAACATAGCAATTGAATTCATATTGATCAGCAATACATTTATAAAATGAGATTAAAGATCATAATAGCACCCCAAAATAAGAGGTAACTAGTAATAAATCCAAAAAATAAATCCAAAAAACTTTATGGAAAATATAATAGATATGTATTGAAAGATAGTAAAAAGGCCTAAAAGTGGATATGGATGTAGATGAGTACACACACACCAGTGTGGGTCTGGGTGTCGTCATGGCAATACCAAGGGTGACAGAATCCCCAAACCTGGTCACTGCATACATGAAAGGGTTGCAAATACCAGTGAAATCCAGTTGGAAAGACTGTCAGACTTTGAAAGAAAGCCTTGAGAAGTTAAACACCTCATATTGTATCGATTCAGCTTCTGAGCTACTCAAATCCCAAGATTTTACAGAATATTAGGCCGCATCCAGGCTTTAAATATGGCTGCAGGAAAGCGGCTCTCTTCTTTCTAATAGAGAAAGCAACGCTCAGTCTTGGACAAATAGAAAATGATTTTGGAAGAGACACTTGCTGTTAATGGCAGACCCCTTAGCCTTGCGGCTTGCTGTAACAGGGCTGAATTGCAGCAGGCGTCACAGGCTCTCCCTCCAATTACTGTCAGATGAGGCCTCATCAGACTCCAGGTGCTTTGCTTCAAAGCCATCTGTTGAAAAGGAAATCATACTTGAGGAATGAAAAGGGGGCCAGCACAAGCCCTAATTTAGTGAATGTGGCCATTGTCACGGGAACACAAGCCCGGTGAAGGGCATGAAAGTCCTCTGGCGCCCTGAGTCCTGTTCCTATGTAGAAGTTATCAGAGTGTTATTATTACCCATTGAAAATCAACAGGAAGAAAAGCCAGGAGCCCGCAGCCCATTCAGACGAAGCTCAGTGCATTTAATCACAGAACTGTCAGCCTTAGTGTAATCACAGCCAGCACAGGCGGTAAATGGCATTTCAGAAATGTTACTGTCAGGTCCTGCCTTCTCCCAGCCTCTGTGGCTTGCTTCCTTCCGCAGCTGAGATGATTTAACTCCCACCAGCAGGTTCAGCTCCACAATATTTTCCAGGAAAAGGACGGCGAATATGCCTGCCATTACTCCCACTTTTCTACCCAAGATCGACATCCCCAAGGGATCACCTCCTTCATTTCTACTAGGCCCAGAACACTGCAACCTGAGAGGCCTCCTCAGAGGGTTCCAGGCAGCTCTACCCAATGGCCTGGGATTGGCATGCAGGAGAAAACTCATTCGGCTTCCCTGCTCTTGGACTAATCCGGATGTAAAATACCATAAAGAGAGCCACTTAGGACTCCAGCTCCCACATAAAGTCAGCCATTCTGCGTAGTCTGTCCCTGACACTGTATTCCTATTATTACAACTGGCCTCTGCTCCCTCCTTCCATCCATCCATCCATCCATCCATCCACCCATCCAACAACTACTCACTAAGTACTTCCTGTCGATAAGTTACTATTCTAAGCCCAAAAGGTATAGTATTTCTATTCTAATGGAACTTATAGTCCAGTGGTGGAGACAGATTACAAATAAACAAACCAGATAGTAATAAATGCCAAAAAGAAAATTAAAGTGGGACAAGGGTATACACACGTGTCAAATCTGATTCAGTTCACAGTTTGAATACGCGCGGATGACTGTACTTCACTTACACCTCACACTGGATTAGGTGCGCCCTTAATCCAGTCTGACTGGTGTTCTTATAGAGGAGAAAAGACACAGAGACAGACACACACAGGTCAGGCAAAATCAGAGGCAGAGTTTGGAGTGAGGCCTCTATAAGCCAAGCAAGCCAAGGATTTTGGGGAACCCCCCAGAAGCCAGAAGAGGCTGGGAAGCATTCTTACCTAGAGTCATTGGAGAGAACATGGTCTTGCTGACACCTTGATTTCCAACTTCCAGCCTCCAGAACTGTGAGGCAATACATTTCTGTTGTTTTACGGCATTTAGTTTGTGGTGCTTTGTTATAGCAGCCCTACAAAATTGATATTCTTTCCATCAGACCACTCGATCAATCCCAGTCCTTCACATTGAGTAATGACCTTGCTGATTGTCTCCCTGTCTTTGCACAGGGATGGCACAAAGGCTAGTGCACAGGGCACAAGGATCATCAATCTTTTGAAGCTTGAGCTGCAAAGGCCCCTCACTAACGAGGCCCATTTTAAGGACATGGAAGGGTCTCCATCTTTGTGTTCACATGATTATACATTTTCATAAAGTTTTCAAAATGGTATTTTAACCACAATCAATCAAGAGAACTGTCGTTTTACTTCCCAACTTTCCCTGGGGTCAGGTTCCCTTGGTTCATAGCTATGAACCTTTCGGGATTCTGCTAAGAGGATGTAAATTTGGAGATACATTTAGTTTGGTTTAGTGGGATATATTAATGTGTTTTTCAGCCACTTGCATGCATAGTTAAGTTATTGCTAGCTCTCCCAGTGTAGATGACTTTATGAAATTCCCCTCCCACTCACTGTATCAACCCAGCAAAGTGACACAAAAGTGCAGGCCTACCCCTGCATCTAGGGGGGAGGTGTATCCAGACACTGTTCTGTGAAGAATTCTTTGAATCTTGTGTAGTATACTTGGAGAATTTGGTGCTCATCAACTCCTCGTCAAAATGGAAGTTCTCTCTTCTGTCAGAAATATACTTCAATAATGTAATGTATACAACGATAAACACTCCTTACATGTTTATATTGTAACTAGTGGCCTGGTGCATGGATTTGTGCACTGGTGAGGTCCCTTGGCCTGGCCTATGCCCTCTTGCAATCCAGGACCTCTTGGGGGATGTCTGACTGCTGGTTTCAGCCCAATCCCCGCAGGCCAGGCCGAGGGACCCCACCAGTGCACGAATCTGTGCACCAGGCCTATAGTATGCATATAAGATCTTTGGTTAATCTCTTCCACCCTCCCCATTTCTCTCTGAGATTCATCAGTCTGTTTCATGTTTCCATGCCTGTGCGTTGAGCATCTGCCCCCTGGTGGTCAGTGCATATCATAACTACCAGTCCAACAGTCAAATGGTCGATCGGTCACTTAGGCTTTTATATATGTAGATGAGGGTCTTATAAACAGAATTTAATCTGAATTCTTGTGTTTATGGGACACAAACCAGTAGACTACTATAAATGGTGTGCCCATTCTGCATGTAATGGGTATGCATATTAGATTGTATTTTTGTGAATCTAATATATCTTATAATCAAGAAATGCCCTGAAATCTTACAGGTCAGTATGAAAACAAGTAGATAAAAGTTTTCCCAGACTTGACAACCCTAAAAATGAATGTAAAATCACCAGTAATTTGTGAAACTGAAAGTAACATTTCAAACTATTATTAATACAAATCAACTTCTTTTTTTTTTTGGATTGAAGAAAGATTAAATTTTCTGTTTTCTCTCTAGAAAAAATATCATACAATTGTTATTTCGTGAAGGGTTAATAAGAGAATATGGAGCCAAAAACTGTGGAGGAAGGAAGTAGGATGTGCCAGGCAATTGTTTGGTAATAATATTAGAGTATATTTCTGAATTTTGTGATACTGTGGTATTAGCCCACTTTGTTATATTTGCAATTTGTTATACTTTTTTTCTCTCTCAGTCTACAGTCTAAAGAAACATTCACTTTTGTACCAAATTTTATATTTCTCATTTTTCTTAAAGAGGGCCCTCTCCCTAATTATGTAAGTCAGATCTGCCCATGCTAATACATAATTACGATTGACATGATTTGTTTACCAAGTTTTATTAAAAGCTAACTGCAGGCAGAGCAATGTGTAGATGCTTTATGGTATAGTGCTAAAGTGAGAAGAAACCATGGTTGGAGTTAGGGGTCCAGAGGTCCAGTTCTAACTCTCTCAGAGAGAGCTATATGGGAATAGGCAAGTCCCTTCCCCTCTGTAAAACTTGATTTTTTGCCTGGCCAGTGTGGCTTACCTAGTTGAGCATCATCCCATGCATCAGGAGGTTGCCAGTTCAATTCTGGTCAGGACATTTGCCTATTTTGTGGACTTGATCCTCAATACAGGGCATGCAGGAGGCATCCAATCAATGTTGCTCTCTCATCGATGTTTATATATCTCTCTCTCCCTCTCCCCTTCTCTCCCTGAAATAAATAAAAACATATTAAAAATAAATAAAATAAAACTTGGTTTCTTCTTCAGTTAAATCAAGTTTGTATTTAAGCTCATCTTCACTTGATGATTTTATGAACATGCATTTCAGAGTTAGACCAAACATTAATATTATTTGTAAATAATGTTATCACCATCTGGCTGTTTCTGCTGACTAGGAGTTTATGACCTGCGGAGCCAAGGTTGATCTTTGGTTTGTAGTGATTGGCAATGTTTGTTGGCAGTTCTCTTCCTTTGTTTCAAAGGTTGGCTTACATCTTGGGCCAAATGAGCCCATTTCTGATTACTGATTTGAAGTTGTGCCTGCAGGTTACCAGTCCTGATAGGTAGGTTGCCATCTTTGTTTTATTGATCCTCTGACAAGTCCTGCTCAGGGGACCTGTGTTAAGTCATACTCCTGCCTGGCTGTCTGGGGCATGATTCCATGACTTTGTTTTCATGGACCCTAATAGAACACTTTATTTGATGTTTTGACTATGCTGACTGTTCCAGATGCTGGCTATGATTTCTGTCACAGGGATAGTGTTTATTGACATTGTTCTGTAATTCTTTGGTTTGCTAAGAAACCATCTTCCATATAAATGTCAAAAACAAAATTTTCATCAACCAGCTAATGCTTATCTTCAACAAGAAAATTAGCAGCTTGTGCTCCAGTCTACACTTATATTTTTGTTTTCATGCCTTGGTTAATCAATGATCATTTTATTCATTATTCACTTGTTGATTTGATTCATTCTCCCCCCTTTCCACCAAAGATTAGAGTTGTATTTGTGAATGCAATAAGGAATTCTGAACACATCAAAATGTCAGTTTCTAAACCTGGCAAGATCATAATTTGTATTTGGGTTTGATTTTGGTTTCCAAAGATAACTTAAGAAGGTGTCAACAGCCTTAATAAGGTCAGTTACATAAGCAGGTGGTTTGGGAACAAAATGTCAACATTGGTAAAAAGCTGCTAATCTGGTTATTTGAAAAGGTGTCTTAGCTGTGGCACATACCTTCTCAATGAGAGCTCCTGTCCACTGTGACTGTTTTGGAAGATTACACAGAGTCAGTTAAATGATTAATTTACTAACTCCCTCCATAAATATTTGCTAAGGCACTGGATGAGAAGCTGCTCACCACTCTGCAGAGATGATGCAGTTCCACAGAGGGAGCATCAGAATGAAGAAGATGAAAGTTATGGGTCAGCGTGACCCAGAAAGAGAAGCCATGCCTTTGAAGCTCCACCTCAAAGATGGAAAGTTGATAGATGGTGTTGATCCGGGCTGACTTGGCAGAGCACTGAGGGAGCAATAGAAAAACAGCAGCTCAACCCCAGCACGGCTCTTTTGGGAGCCAGGAGACATGGACTCTATTTAATGAAGAAAGTGGTCACTTGGTTGCTACTACAAAAAGTAACTAAACATAGGGATGAGTCACAAAAGCAGTGAGACAATAGAAATCATATGGAACAAACAGCACAAACTATAGTCATATATCAATCTATTTTTTCTATCACTATATAGATGGGTTAAATTACTAGGAGTAATGCAACAACAGTGCTAGATTATGTGGAAAGTGTCCTGGACTGGATATTTTACTAATTAATTAAATAATTCAAATAATAATTTATTTTTTATTTTAAAGAGAGGCCCAGAGAGAGGGAGAGGGACGGAGAGAGGGAGGGAGGGAGGGAGGGAGGGAGGGAGAGAGAGAGAGAGAGAGAGAGAGAGAGAGAGAGAGAGAGGACTGATTTGCTTTCCACCCACTTAAGCATTTATTGGTTGATTCTTGTATGTGCCCTGACTGGGGATAGAACCTGCAACCTTGGCACCTTGGATCGACGCTCCAATCAACTGACCTACCCAGCTAGGGCTCAAAAAATAATTTTTAAAATAGATTTTTATAGATTTCAGAGAGGAAGGGAGATGGAGAGAGATAGAAACATCAATGATGAGAGAGAATCATTGATCGGCTGCCTCCTGCACACCCCTCACTGGGTATCAAACCCACAACCCAGGCATGTTCCCTGACCAGGAATCGAACCATGATCTCCTGGTTCATAGGTCAATACTCCACCACTGAGCCATGCCGGCCTGTTCAAAAAATAATTTTTATCAAGCACCTGCTATGCACTAGGCCATTGCTAGGTGTTGAAGAACCCAAGATACATAAAACAGGGCCTGACTGTGTGAAGAGACAGATGAGTAAACCAATACTACAGTGTAGTTTGCAGTGCATAATGACAGAGCACTTGTAAAGCACCCAATTCACTCTGGTGAGGGAGAGTGGCCCAAACTGTAGGAAGCCTACCCACCATGCTCCTCATTCATCCTGGCCAATGGAATACTGCTGTTGTCCTGTGCGGCAGAATGCACTCAAAGAAGAGAAGCTTCCCCCGAGTCATAGGCAAACCACAGTAATCCTTTCTCTTTGCCAGTGCAATTGGTCTAGGGCCGTGGTCAGCCCTTTGGCCCCTTGAGTGTGGCTCTTCCTAAGCCTTAGGAGTGCCCTAATTAAGTTAATAACAATGTACCTACCTATATAGTTTAAGTTTAAAAAATTTGGCTCTCAAAAGAAATTTCAATCGTTGTACTGTTGATATTTGGCTCTGTTGACTAATGAGTTTGCCGACCACTGGTCTAGGGTGAGTCAGTGACCCAGACCTACCTAATGGGACCAGAGGGGAATTTGCTGGGAAAGATTTTCTTCTCTTAGATATATGAAAAAGAGATGTTCAAGGGGAAATTGTAGGATTGCTTTTCTATTATTTCCTCCTGGGGGTTCCTCATGCTGAGAGCTAAGAAGTCAAAGATTTCTGGATCTTTCCAGCATCCGTTGTTCAAAAAGAGGTTTTCCATCGTTAATCCCAGGAGTGAGATAATCCAGCCTATAGATGTAGTTTCATTAGACCAACATGTAACCTGAGGCCTGCACCTGATCGGTTTTGTCCTGCTTTCCTCTTTTTAAAAAGGTGTCACTTTCTCTGTGCCTTTCTTTGTGTGAATTCCATGGATTTGTTGGGCTTGTTCTTTTAGGACAAAGGTATTATCTGTGACTTCACTTACAATAACGGTTCCACCTGGAAACCCACCCAGGAATGGTTCTGAGTATTTAGATGGCTCTTCCCGTCTGGAATATAAGATCTTTGTAACCATTGGCAAAGCTGCCACCGTCTCCTGCATGTGGTTTCTCCAAGTGCTCTCATTAGAGACTCTCTTCCTACAGCTATGAGAGCGTGCCTCTCAATCGTTTCCTCAATTTTGGATTCCTTTGCAGGTGGGGAGAGGGGAGAGGTCATTCTAGCTAGCTCTGCTAGATGTCATCCCTTTTCCTCCCAGTCTGTTTATGGGCAGCTAGAGCTGGATGTGTCTCCGTTTGCCCTTTGTGTCCATCTACCTTGTCTCTGAAACCCCAATCTTTCTCCTAAGGAAATCTTTCTCTTCCTCCTGCTTAATCAGCCCATCTGCTTTCATTCATCTTTCATTCTCTCTTTGCTTCTACTTAGATAATAAGACAGAAATGTATTTTGACAGCCAATCCAGTTCCTCCTTGAATTTCTGCAAAAACCTGCTTCCAGACACACTGTTTTGGGCTCAGACCTTCTAAATTGCCATCTTAACTTTTGGGTTGATAATAATTTCACTGAAGTGTGGGGGGTTTTTTGCGGGTGGGGGGTGGGGCGGTATTCATGTTTCTTAAAAATATAAACCCAAGAAGATGGAATAGTTTTTATAAAATAACTAGGGGCCTGGTGCATGAAATTCGTGCACGGTTTGTGTGTGTCCCCCTCAGCCTGACCTGCACCCTCTCCAATCCGGGAGTCCTCAGGGGATGTCCTACTGATGGCTTAGGCCTGCTCTCCATGATTCTCTGCTCTCTGCGGGGCCTGCCTGCTCCACACCACAGCGACTGCCAAGCAGGCCATGCTCAGAGCTGCCTGCGGCCAGGCTTCCCTGCTCCCGGGTCGCCACGGCGATGGCCAAGCAGGCCAGTGCCATGCTGGGAGCTGCCTCCTCCCTGCCACCTCCACAGAGGTGATGAGGTTAATTTGCATATTCACTCCTGATTGGCCGGTGGGCATCGCGAAGGTATGGTCAATTTTCATCTTTCTCTTTTATTAGTGTAGATGACTTCTTTTCCTTTTTAGATGTAGTCATAAGTGAAATATAACCCCTTTTGGGAGTGTCACTGATATTAGTGACCTTAAAATATAAAGTGAGGGCCAGAATTTATGTAATTAACAAGGCCAGGACAAACTTGAGGACTGATGGTTGGGGAGGACTTGAATCTGTGGATCAGCCACTTATTTCCACACTTCTCTTCCCTGTCCCTGAACACAGCTCCTGTCAACAGAGAAAGGAACAGAATGTTGAGTAGCTGCCTACCAAC